CCCCAATCAAAAGACACAGACTGGCAAATTGGATAAAAAGCCAAAACCCATCGGTGTGCTGTATCCAGGAAACCCATCTCACATGCAAAGATACACAAAGGCTCAAAATAAAGGGATGGAGGAAGATTTACCAAGCAAATGGAGAGCAAAAAAAGAGCAGGAGTTGCAATTCTCATCTCTGATAAATTAAGACTTTAAAGCAACAAATATCAAAAGAGACAAAGAAGGACATTACATAATGGTAAAAGGCTCAGTGCAACAAGAAGAGCTAACGATCCTAAATATATACGCACCCAATACAGGAGCACCCAGATACATAAGGCAAGCTCTTAATGACTTACAGGGAGACTTAAGACTCCCACACAATTATAATGGAGACTTTAACACCCCATTGTCAACATTAGACAGATCAACGAAACAGAAAATTAACAAGGATATCCAGGACCTGAACTCACACCTGGACCAAGCAAACCTAACAGACACTTAGAGAACTCTCCACCTCAAATCCACAGAATATACATTCTTCTCAGCACCACATCACACCTACTCTAAAATGACCACATAATTGGGAGTAAATCACTCCTCAGCAAATGCAAAAGAACGGAAATCGTAACAAACAGTCTCTCAGACCACAGTGCAATCAAGTTAGAACTCAGAATTCAAAAACTAACCCAGAACCGCACAGCTTCATGGAAACTGAACAACTTGCTCTTGAATGTTGACTGGATAAACAATGAAATGAAGACAGAAATAAAGATGTTCTTCAAAACCAACAAGAATGAAGAAACAACATACCAGAATCTCTGGGACACATTTAAAGCAGTCTCTAGAGGAAAATATATAGCAATAAGTGCCCACATGAGAAGCATGGAGAGATCAAAAATTGACACCCTATCGTCAAAATTGAAACAGCTGGAGGAGTAAGATCAAAAAAACTCAAAGTCTAGCAGAAGACAAGAAATAGCTAAGATCAGGGCAGAACTGAAGGAGATAGACACACAAAAAACCCTTCAAAAAATCAGTAAATCCAGGAGCTGGTTTTTTAAAGATCAACAAAATAGACCACTAGGCAGATTAATAAAAAAGAAAAGAGAGAATAACCAAATTTATGCAATAAAAAACGATAAAGGGGATATCACCACAGATTCCACAGAAATTCAAACCATCATCAGAGATTATTAAAAACAACTCTATACACATAAACTAATAAACCTGGAAGAAATGGATAAATTCCTGGACACTTGCCTCCTCCCAAGACTAAACCAGGAAGATGCCGAAACCCTGAACAGACCCATAACAAGGTCTGAAGTTGACACAGCAATTAAGAGCTTACCACCCAAAAAAAGCCCAGGTCCAGACGGGTTCACAGCCAAATTCTACCAGACATACAAAAAGGAGCTGGTACCATTCCTTCTGAAACTATTCCAAACAATACAAAAAGAGGGAATTCTTCCCAAATCATTTTATGAGACCAACATCATCCTGATTCCAAAACCCGGCAGAGGCTCAACAAGAAAAGAAAACTTCAGGCCAATATCCATGATGAACATAGATGCAAAAATCTTCAATAAAATACTGACAAGCCGATTGCAACAGCACATCAAAAAGCTTATTCACCATGATCAA